CAAAAAATGTGTTTCCATTTTGAGTTTTCAGTTTTTTTTTTTTTAACCACCCAACACTAGCCATCACCCGCCACCATTTTCCACCACCGTCTTCCGCCACTACCACCCATCACCTACTACTACCTGCCACCACCATTCACCACCCACCTGCCACCACCACCAGCCACCAACCACCTGCCATCCACTCGCCACCACCCACTGCCCGCTACCACCACTCGCCACCTACTTGCGACACCATCCGCCATCTGCCACCCACCTGCCACCACCAACCACCACTTGCCACTACCACCACCACCACCACCACCCACTCGCTACCACCCACCACTCGCCACCACCCACCACCACCAGCTACCCACCAACCACCGTCAACCACCCACTCGCTACCACCCACCACTCGCCACCACCCACCACCACCAGCTACCCACCAACCACCGTCACCACTTTCCACCACCGTCTTCCGGCGCCACTTGCCACCATTTGCCATTTCTCACTATTTTTTATATTTTTTAAAACATTTTGTCAATTACCAAGCGCGTTTGTAGTTTATGTTTTTCTAAAAATAAACAAAAAATAAACAAAAATCAGTTTATAAAATTTTTATAAATATAAACTGAATTTAGAAAACTGAAACCAAACAGATTGATTATTTATTTATTTATTTTTTTCAATTCAGTTTTCTTGCTGGGAAATTGACAAATAAATCATGGTTTTTGATTTTTTTAAAACCTCACCTCAATTACATTGAACTCATTGTGTGCTTGATTTGAGAGTTTTTTGAATTAAATTTTTTGAAAAATGAGTTATTTTTATTTTCATGTTTTTTTTTTAGTAAATATTTTTAAAAGTTTAATCATTTTTTTAAATGCATCTTTGATATATTAAAAAGTAAAAATTTTGTGAAAAAAAAAATAAAAAATTAATAAATACATAAAAATATAAAAAAATATATATTAAATTCTCATATTTTTTTTGTATTTTTAATATTTAGTGAATTTTTATAAGATTTTTTTTCACAAAAATAATACTTCTTATGTGTATGTATGTTAAGTATGTCTAAAAATTAAAAAAATGGTTTAAAATATTAAAAAAATTCAGTAAAAAAAAAATACGAAAACAAAAAGTAAATTTTCTGAAAAGCATTTTTGGAAAACCAAAAACAACCAAAGTGATATTTTTTTTTTATTTTTTTTTTCAATTCAGTTTTGTTGTTTAATTTAAGGGGAATTGACCAATAAATTCTGTTTTTTGATCTTCTATTCCGTAAGATCCTAAATCTTTTCTTGTTAACTGTGTAGTCCCTGTGAATGGTTGTTTACTAATTTGCCATTGGTGAAGCCACTATCAGGGGTTGTGTTTAAGCATTGGAATAAGGGTCTGTGTTTCACGTCACCTCTTATGTATGGTTAATAGTCGTACAATGGGTCAAAATATATTGGCGTGTCTGATATGTCTCTGCGTTTTTTCTGATGGCAGCTCGTTCTGTCAGTGATACGAAAAGTTCGAAACAGAGGCTCAATTTCCGTTCCAACATCGTAGGCCTTGTAAACATGATGCACAAGGTGGAGTGGACAGATCTGCACCTTGTACACTTAAGGAAGACACCCTTCTGGTTGCTGTTCAAGGCCATACTGAAGAATCAACTACCTTACACCGAGTTCAAGAAAAATGGTGATATGGTGGTCAGCATTATACAGTCTTATAGTGTACAGGAGGGGAAATTCGTTATTGGTGGTCAGAGTGTTGATTTCACGGATGAGGATGTGAGACTATTGTTTGGACTGCAATGTGGAGATGCATTGTTGGAGTTGACGGCACGCCCCAAGCCTGCATCGGATTTTGTGCAACAGAGGTGCCAGGGTGTCAGTCGCATTACTATGAAACTCGTAAAGGATTTGCTAGTTGAAGCAGCAAAGGGTACAGCACCGAGGGATTATGAGGATACCGCAAAACTACTTTGCTTGTACGCTTGTGTGAAGTTGTTTTTTTCAACTTCTGGAGAGATTGTGAGCTGGACTTTCATTCGGTACGTGGACAATCTGGATGCAATGAAGTCATACGATTGGGCTGGTGCGATACGTAATTCGTTGATGTCTTCTATTAGGGATTTCCACCGGACACCACATAAAGTGACTGGATGTGTGATTGCTTTACTGGTAATTATTATGAATAAATTTGGTGTTGGTATTTCTGTCGTTCTTTTCATGCTTGTGTTGTTTTGTGTGTGAAACGAGGATGGTTAACTGACGAGCGTTTCGTGGTTTGGTTGGCTTGTGTTGTAGTATTGGTTATGCGAACACACATCGATAGTTGAAGCAAAATTGGCGCACCAGTTCCCGCGGTTCTTGAAGTGGAACATTGGTGAGTTATTGGCCAGTGCACGGGGTGTGAAGTTATCTGAGGCTGTTAGTTTTCAGGTATTTGATTTTTTGAATTATTAACTTCAATTAAATTCATAACGGGATGAATGTTGCTCATTTGTTTATGTGTGTTTGTTGTAGGTGAGCCCGGAACAACTAGTTGCTGACGAGCATGAGGTTAATATATTGAAGGGTGAAGATATGGTTGGGGGAGAGCACGTCGATTTGAGGGACAACGGTGTTCACAGTGGTTTAGGCGGTGTTCACCTAAATGAGTCCACAATAGAGATAACCGGGTCTGGCGCCCTTGGATCGCAACCAAACGCCCCTGGACCAAGCACTCTTGTTTTTACTCCGTTGAGCATTCCTATGCTCTATGTGGAGCAAATAATGGCTGCTCAATCAAATATTGAGCCCAACCATTATACGTTGAAGTCATGTGTAGAGACTATGACTGCGGTCACTAACTTGTCTCACCAGTTTCAGAATAGGACAATTGAGGTACAGCAGTTAAAAACTCAACTCTCTCTGTTGCAGTGCAAGTACAAGGATGCGCGAGCAGAGATCTGCGCGTTGAAGGCGGAAAACAAGGAGCTGAAACGGAAGGCCACCGTTATGTTCCAATTCGGAGGACCGCCATATGCTACATTAGAGGAGCAGCGGGGAGGCAACTTGCTCGGTGGACTTGGAAGCACTGAGGGAGGGCCGTCAAGTGTCGCCCAAGACGAAGGCAAGAGGAAGAGAGCGGCAGCAGAGCCGAGGAAGTGAGGTCAGTAGTTGGCCGTCAGCAGAAAAGAAAACAAATCTTTGTTGTTGTCGTTGTTCGTTTTTTTTTTTTTGGGTGTTTGTGTGGAATGAAATAAAATAAAGAGTTGACAAATTAGAGGTGATTTGAATCTCTGGGTTGGCATGTTGATATAACATATTATAATAAAAAATAAATATATGTGATGATGGAAAGTAGTATGGTACGTAAAAACATAAAATAAAAATTAAAGTTGGTTTTTTTTTATTTTTTTTATTTTTTGTCAGAATAAAGATGTGGATGATGGGTTGAAAAGTAGACATAAAGGTGGAGATTTGAAAGAGATTAAAAGTAGTTTGGAGAAAACAAATAAAAATAATTGATTTTGAAATCAAACGTGATGGAGGAAAGAGAGGGGACAAGCCTATGTGATAAAGTGGAGAGAGAGGGTGCTGGGTTTGGAAAGAAGGGCTGTTCATGGCTTTATGTACTCTGTATTTTAATATCAAGCTTTGTTTAGTCAATAATTATTCATGGTGAATTTTATGCCTTTATGCTCTCAGTATAATATTTCCCACTTTGCCATGTACTTATAGCTATTTATCAATTTTCAATAAACAATACAATTCAGAGATAGCTTTTGGAGAGTCTTAAACACGATGTTGCAGAATAGACATACACAGCACTTTTATAATATTTATAATTATATTCTTCGTATGTAAATATTGTCCTTTTTGGTCAATAAATTTTATTATAAAAGTAAAAGCTTCAATGATTATTTTGATACCCTTACTTAAATATTATTTTTGCTCGCATTTATTTATTTATTCAAAAATTGACCGAATGTAACTTTAGTTACTGGCCATCACAATACTTAACCCTCAAGTATGGAGGGCGGATCCACTACTACAAAAATAGTTAAAGATCACACTTTGACAAAAAAAAAATCTCACTTTTATTGGAAGTGATAAAAAAAATTAGATTGATATTTTAATCACACATAATTTGATTGATTGTGATAAAATTTATTTTTTATGTCACTTTTCAATTAAGTGTGATTATATATATATTTTTTAATCACACATCCTAATTAAAATGTGATTATATATACACTACTACTTTTTAATCACACTTTTTAAATAAGTGTGACTATATATATATGTTTTATTCACACATTCTAATTAAAGTGTGATTATTTATATATTTTTTAATTACACATTCTAATTAAAGTGTGATTATATATACAATATTACTTTTTAATCACATTTTTAAAATAAGTGTGATTATATATATATACTAGCGTATGCCCGTGCCTGAAGGCACGGTACAATTAATGATGAGATTAAAATATAAATCAAAATTAAAGAGGAATGTATTCAAATTTTTGCCTTTTGTTTTTTGTTTTGTTTTGTTTTGTTTTGTTTTGTTTTCTTTTCAAAGAATAGGTAATGAATTCACAAGAAGGAGAAAAATTCCTAAATGAAGACATGAAACTTGAATGAAACACCAATTTATTAGTAACCCAAATAAATTTCAGGAACCCCCAAAATTAAGAACCTCTATGACTCTCAAAATGATGTAAACCAATCATATATTTTTATTTTTTTTCTTTCCTTTCTTGACCAATCACAGGTGAGTGAAAGTTAAGAAAAATCTTGCCAAGAGAAATTGCACTTCCCTCAAATTGCAATCTCTCAATTTTCGCACCCACTCTATCTCCTCTTCTCTATCACCTTAGTCTCTCTCTCCTAAAGACTGTAAAACATTAATCTTCTCAACTATCTCTCTCTCTCACCGACTGATATCCCCCCGTTCCTCTCTCTTCTCAAATGAAGACTCTCTGTTTCCTTAAGTCATAGATGATAATATTAAATTTAAATAAAAAAAAATTGTAAACTAAAAATAGATTGAACAATTTAACTCCCAATAGAACCCAAGCATTTGGTTTGCTCAGATGAGTTTTTTTTTAAAAAAATCAAATAACTCTTAACTATCCATTTGGTTTGCTCAGATGAACACACCATGAAATTAATCAAATAACTCTTAACTATCCATTTGGTTTGCTCAGATGAAATTTTTTTTAAAAAAATCAAATAACTCTTAACTATCCATTTGGTTTGCTCAGATGAAATTTTTTTTAAAAAAATCAAATAACTCTTAACTATCCATTTGGTTTGCTCAGATGAAATTTTTTTTAAAAAAATCAAATAACTCTTAACTATCCATTTGGTTTGCTCAGATGAAATTTTTTTTAAAAAAATCAAATAACTCTTAACTATCCATTTGGTTTGCTCAGATGAAATTTTTTTTAAAAAAATCAAATAACTCTTAACTATCCATTTGGTTTGCTCAGATGAAATTTTTTTTAAAAAAATCAAATAACTCTTAACTATCCATTTGGTTTGCTCAGATGAAATTTTTTTTAAAAAAATCAAATAACTCTTAACTATCCATTTGGTTTGCTCAGATGAAATTTTTTTTAAAAAAATCAAATAACTCTTAACTATCCATTTGGTTTGCTCAGATGAAATTTTTTTTAAAAAAATCAAATAACTCTTAACTATCCATTTGGTTTGCTCAGATGAAATTTTTTTTAAAAAAATCAAATAACTCTTAACTATCCATTTGGTTTGCTCAGATGAAATTTTTTTTAAAAAAATCAAATAACTCTTAACTATCCATTTGGTTTGCTCAGATGAAATTTTTTTTAAAAAAATCAAATAACTCTTAACTATCCATTTGGTTTGCTCAGATGAAATTTTTTTTAAAAAAATCAAATAACTCTTAACTATCCATTTGGTTTGCTCAGATGAAATTTTTTTTAAAAAAATCAAATAACTCTTAACTATCCATTTGGTTTGCTCAGATGAAATTTTTTTTAAAAAAATCAAATAACTCTTAACTATCCATTTGGTTTGCTCAAATGAACACACCATGAAATTAGATTAAGGGACTGGAACAATAAAGCAAGGACCACAAAAACATCCATCCAGCAATGTAACTGAAGAGAGTGAGCATCCTTTGTCCAATGTATTTTTTAATCACATATTCTAATTAAAGTGTGATTATATATATATTTTTTAATCACACATCCTAATTAAAATGTGATTATATATACACTACTACTTTTTAATCACACTTTTTAAATAAGTGTGACTATATATATATATATGTTTTATTCACACATTCTAATTAAAGTGTGATTATTTATATATTTTTTAATTACACCTTCTAATTAAAGTGTGATTATATATACAATACTACTTTTTAATCACATTTTTTAAATAAGTGTGATTATATATATATACTAGCGTATGCCTGTGCCTGAAGGCACGGTACAATTAATGATGAGATTAAAATATAAATCAAAATTAAAGAGGAATGTATTCAAATTTTTGCCTTTTGTTTTTTGTTTTGTTTTGTTTTGTTTTGTTTTGTTTTCTTTTCAAAGAATAGGTAATGAATTCACAAGAAGGAGAAAAATTCCTAAATGAAGACATGAAACTTGAATGAAACACCAATTTATTAGTAATCCAAATAAATTTCAGGAACCCCCAAAATTAAGAACCTCTATGACTCTCAAAATGATGTAAACCAATCATATATTTTTATTTTTTTTCTTTCCTTTCTTGACCAATCACAGGTGAGTGAAAGTTAAGAAAAATCTTGCCAAGAGAAATTGCATTTCCCCCAAATTGCAATCTCTCAATTTTCTCACCCACTCTATCTCCTCTTCTCTATCACCTTAGTCTCTCTCTCCTAAAGACTGTAAAACATTAATCTTCTCAACTGTCTCTCTCTCTCACCGACTGATATCCCCCCGTTCCTCTCTCTTCTCAAACGAAGACTCTCTGTTTCCTTAAGTCATAGATGATAATATTAAATTTAAATAAAAAAAAATTGTAAACTAAAAATAGATTGAACAATTTAACTCCCAATAGAACCCAAGCATTTGGTTTGCTCAGATGAGTTTTTTTTTAAAAAAATCAAATAACTCTTAACTATCCATTTGGTTTGCTCAGATGAACACACCATGAAATTAGATCAAGGGATTGGAACAATAATGCAAGGACCACAAAACATCCATCCAGCAATGTAGCTGAAGAGAGTGAATATCCTCTGTAGCTGTGCAAAAATAAAAAATAAAATAAAATAATTTAAAAAGTTGAGTGTACCTTTGTAGAATCCACCCCTCCTTTAGTCCCACGGGTTTGTGAGCTTTGGATCTAATGAATAAATGGAGAAGATGACCATGGAACTTTTAGGGTATTCTCTACGCTGTTTCAACCATTGTTGTGGGTCAAGAAGTTTATCAAAAAAGGGAAAAATAGAACTTGAAAGATAAAATACATATTCTCACGCACATAAATAAGCACAAACCTAGATATTACAAACTTTCTGCCATGTTTTTGAATTAATTTTTATGAACACAAACACAAATGCAATAGAAATGACAAAATTGGAGCTGATATGCACAAACAAAACCGGTAATTTTATCACATTTCAAACAACTCAAACCCAGATTAATAAAGCTTAACACATAAATTGCAAGATCAATTCCACCAACATAAATGATGATCAATACCTCAATTTCACCAACAAACTTGAAGATATATCACTCTTGGGCCAAACAAAAATTTGGCTATCGTTAGAATTAGAATACAACCCGTGTCTTAAGATATATCACCTGGGTTGAACAAAAAAAAATTGAATAGAAAAAAAAAAAGTGAAAAAATACCAAATAGAAATATACCAAACAGATAAAACTACATAATCATTCTGTTCTGGAGAGGTTATTTTCGAATTAGGTAAGAGAGAGAGTAGTAGAATCTCAAATAAGCTCATCATTTAATTTTTTATTTTTTAGAGAAACAAAAAAAGAGATTAGTTTTTGGATATAGAAATGGTAGAAACTAAGAAATTGACTACAGAAAATATAACACATACACATCTATTTTGGAGAGGTTGATAATGTGGGTAGTTGTTGTTGTTTCACTACAATTCATGAAAGAATGGATGGATACACATACGAATATAACACATTCTGGTTTTATCATCCATGGACACGTTGCACCACAATTCATGAAAGAATGGATGGATATCTTATGCGGCAGAATGGTAATGTCATAGCGATCTGATATGATCAGAGATGAAAGATTAGAAGAGGCTACTTCCATGAAAAGTAGAGCATGAACAAGGATTTTCATTACAACGAATACTAAGTCATGATTATAAAATTGATCTAATTTTTCTTATAAAAAATGGTCGCCAAATTTTTTTATATAATAAAATATTCAAATTATAAAATCAGATTCATAATAGATCGGCCATATAAAGGTCTTAATAATTTCTTAAATTCATATTTGAATAAGACTGAAACAACTGTATTTCCTCGTGTATGAGTATGACTACTACCTCTCTTCTAATTCAAAAGGGAAATAAATGAAAATAATGCTTCTAACAATGATTAAGCAGTTAAAAATGAGATATTAACTTCCCAGGAACAGCTATTATATGACTACTACATTTTTTTAGTCACGAAAAGCTCATATTTGGCAACGAAATTCCTTGGTCGGCAAAGAATAACCTAAAAAATATGCATGGTCTTTGATAACTAAACTTTCTTTTGTCGGCAAATGATTGTATACGACGATCAAATTAAATTTTTCATAGCCTAAAATATAGACTATCATCGACTAATAGGTTTTTAGTCGCCTATTACTTAATATTTAGCGAGTAAATTTTTTTTAGTCGCCAATAAATAGCATATCTTGACTAAATTAATATAGTAGCTAAACTTCGAACCAACGCCGACTAACATATTTTTAGTTGCCAAAAATGACACTTTTGGCGACTAAATTTATTTTGGTCACCAAATTTAGTCGCCAAAAGTGTAATTTCTTATAGTGAAGGAAACACAAACCCATGTCGGTTTCTTGAACATATAGAAAAACACAAATGATACAAATGATAGAGAATCAAAATGATTGAGAATTACCTAGAATACCTACAAAACTCCATAGCAAATATAACCACCAAATGATACAAATGCAGATATTAGATGAATAAATGAAAGAGAGAACCAAAGTGTTAACCACAATCCACAGAACAGCAGCTACTACTCATTCCATAGTAGACTTGTGGGTGTTTCCAAGTCCGCCATTTTAAAACATTTGGCTCAATGTGTTATGTATAAACTGTACAACAACATGATATTGACTAAAATTGGACCAATAGATATTGGTTAAACCAAATGGGTTATGTATAAATTGTACAACAACATGATTCCATTATATTCTTGGTGTTTTGATTTAAGGTTTAGAAAAACAAAAATCAAAATGAGGGCCAAACTGCAGGTGACTTTGGAATCTTGGCAACCTAAAAAAAGTCTCAAAAGAACAACCACTTAAAAAATGTCCCAATAAAAACATCACACTCAGATGCTCTCCCTAAAATCACACCAAACCCATATCATAAAACTAAAATTCTTGGGTTCAATACTTACTGCTAAATAATCTCAAAAGATTAGACACAAGAACATAGGCTTATTGAAAGAGATACAATTCTATTTAATCCAATAACAATAAAAAAAATGATACAATTTCTCCACAAAATAAAACTAAAAATCAAAATTACAGAAAGAGGATGTCATAAACTAAAATGGTATCAAGTTGAACCAAACTTGTGTGTTTCAAAACAATCTAAATACCTAAACATAACCCAAGTCAATTAAGAACAAATCGAACAAATAACCCAAGTCAATTAAGAAAAATACCTAAAAATTGAACAAATCGACAAATAGTCCAACAACCCAATTCAATTAAGATCATCAACACTCTAATAGTTAGTTGCCTTGATGAGTCCAAATCTTTTCAATTCAGTGAACACAATCCCAACTTTGAGAGCAACTAAACATAGTAACCAATTATTAGCCAAAGGAAACCCAAATTTCACTTTCTTTACTATTTCCCACACTTTCTCACCAACCAAATCATTAAAATAGTTTACACCAAAATCATTAACTTTAAAGCAAAACCTGGAGAGTATTTGTGTATTTTTTTCCTAATGTAAGAGTTTAGGTTATTCTTAAACTCTTCTAACGACTTGAACGTTAAGAAGCACCACCAAAGTTCAGGTTTCAGGCATAAGCCCACATGCAGAGAGATTAGTGGGACTGGACTTCATCATGTTCCACCGACATGTAATGGGAGTAAGGTAAATCTTTATACGGAATTGCAATTACTAAAGTAAATTATTGGAGGGATCCTTAAATATGCCATATCAGAAGCAAATGATTATAGCAAGAGAGGAGAGATCAACTATACATATCAGTTTTTGTATGACAGATAACAACTATCACAATCAAAATCCTCACCTGTAAGTGAACTGAATTTATATTTCATGAAGCTCCTTTCCAAAATGCACTTGCAAGTAATGGAAAAATAAATAAATAAAATTAAAAATTAAATAAAATAAAATAAAAAATGAAATAAAAGGACATGGATGATTACAACAAGAGAGGAGCGATCAACTATATATACCAGTTTTTGTATGACAGATAACAACTTTCACAATCAAAGTCCTCACCTGTAAGAGAACTAAATTTTATATTTCACGAAGCTCCTTTCTAAAATGCACTTGCAAGTAATGGAAAAATAAATAAATAAAATTAAAAATTAAAAATTAAAAATTAAATGAAATAAAAGGGCATTGTTAAGTGATGGTCCCAAATTCTACTTAATTGAGTGTGCTACTGGATATAAATCTAATGTCAAGACCCATGCCTGACAACACAAAAAAGCAAAACAAATACATATCAGTTTAAGGTTTATAAACACCAATCCAAATAAATTGAAAGCTACATAAATAAAAAATGAAAAAGAAACATAACAAAGAGAAGATTGTGAAGATCATCAAACTTGCAAGAGCTTCGAACCAAAATTCAAAAACTCATAACTAAACCCATTGCTAACTGAAAGAAGTCAGTAATTCCCTCAATTACTCAATTACTCTCCAGAATGTTTAACCAAATATAAAAACCCATCTCACAATTTGAACACACACATACTCTATACTAACTATTAATAAAAAAATTTAGCTTATACAAAATATGTTATTAATCAATCAATAAAAACAAATAATCAAAAAGAAAAACAACCTCGCGAGAAGCTCAAAATGGTGATTTCCAAGAAGTTAGGTAAAAATGGTGTTATTAATAAATCAATACTAAACAATTCTCAAAATGGTGTTATTAAAATAAATAACTACTAAGGTTTGTTTGAGTTGAACTAAAGTATAGCTAAACTATGTATGATCTATGTCAAGATAACTAAACTAAAATTCTAAACAGATAGCTAAACTTTAGTTTGTTTGAGTTGAACTAAAATGGTGTTCTCTTGACATAGATCATACATAGATCTTAGTTCAAAATGGTGTTCTCTTGGCTGGTACTGTGGTAAAATTATTTCTCAAATAATCAACTTGAGTACCACTCAAAGTATAGCTATCTGTTTGAGAAATAACTACAAATAACTATACTTTAATCTGAAATGTTTATAGATTGATTGATTGTGAATTTGGTTTGTAGATTGATTGTGAATTGGGATAAACAAACCAGTATAGCTATTTATCTGTTGGCTATCTATGATTGATAGCTATCTATCTGGATGATTCTAAAGTATAACAATCCATTAGATTGATTCAATCCAAAGCCAATAGGTGAATGCTTATGAAACCACCAGAAACATTTTTTTTTATAAAAGTAATCCATTTATTCAATCATTGAGAGAAAAAGAGAGAACAGACAACAGACGGACAGAGACAGAGACATATTTGCATGAGGAACTATATGTAGAATCCTTTATCAGTACTTCAATATCAAATATAACTTATAATTATTCACATTTAGCAAACATAGTCTATTATGCATCAATAACATTATTTCTTCAAGGAAACCAAAGGTTATGTGGATGGCAGAGAGAGAGAGAAATACACACCATCAAAAACTCCAAAGAGACCAACTATCTCTCCATCCACACCATCAATTCTTGTCTCATAAAAATCTTCCATTGTAGACCTTTTTCTAGGGGAGCTTGCATAACCATAGCTGAACTTTCCATTCTGACTGTTTTCAGGTGACAAATTAAGCACAATGTTAGACTCAGTCTTCTGCACTCTCATTTTTCGGAAAGAAGTATAAATTCCTTCAATTACTAAAACCACAGTCGCCATACAACATCAACAAAAATAGGAAATAAACACAAATTGAGAGAGACAACGACGGCCCAAATAAAATTGAACTGAAAATACCAAAAGAACTGAAATTGAACTGAAGGTGAGAGAACAATCGACTCTTTCCCAACAGCAGTCAAAAAATTGAACACCTCATTGGCTTAATGCTAGGGAAATAGACACAGCCATCAGAGGTAAACAAAAACAAAGAGAAAAGGGGAGAGGAAGAAAGAGAGAGAAGGGAACACCTCATTTTGCTAATGTAAACAAAGAACTAAAGAAGTTAGACTCAGTCTTCTGCACTCTCACTTTTCGGAAAGAACTATAAACTGACTGTTTTCAGGTGACAAATTAAGCACAATGTTAGACTCAGTCTTCTGCACTCTCATTTTTCGGAAAGAAGTATAAATTCCTTCAATTACTAAAACCACAGTCGCTATACAACATCAACAAAAACAGGAAATAAACCCAAATTGAGAGAGAGAATGACAACCCAAATAAGAAGAAACCAACCGTGGTTTCACCAGAAATAGAGAGCAAACTATCCATTTGGAACAAAAGCCAAGTAGAACTTATGTATTATTTTTAGTTATGCTCAAAACTAATCGATCCAAGATTTTTCAAAAGCCAAGTAGAACTCAAATGCCAAAAGCTGTTATTATCATCTTTAGAGACATTTCCTCATGAGACCTACAAAAGGTTCTATCAAATTAATAACCAAAATCAAGCATTGAAATCTTCCCTAATAATCAATTTAACAATCTGCTCCACAAAAAAGCATTGAAATCATCCCCTGATAAGGTAACCATTGCATGATGTATGAAAATATAACGGCTTTATCGAAGCTATTATACTATTTCAAAAGAGGCAAAGAAACTTTATGATATACAAATTCAGATGACCACTGCATTCAGGCAACCACTGCATGATATACAAATTCAGATAAAAATAAACTTTATTATAGAAAAAGAGGCCAAGAAACACAAAAAGCCACACCTGGGAGATGATGATAGGACCACCTTGAGACTCAAACAACTTCTCATCCTTCATCATTTGGACAATTTTTTAGATTAATCTTGAGAGAGAGAGAGAGAGAGAGACCTTGAAAGATTGCTGATGCCTGGAACATACTTCAACCAAACAAGAAAACCCCTAAAAACAAAAAAGCAAAATAAAATCAAACATTAAAAAAAAAAAAACTTAGCAGCAAACCATGAAACAAACTCAAAAACATCACCATTTACCCCAATCAAAACATTACTAATTGGAAAATCCTTACCACCCATTCAAATGTGCAATACAAAGCTCATTGTCACCAACAAACTAAAAAAATTTCTAAATCACCACAAACCCAACATCAATGGAACTTAGCGAATGAAAAAAAAAAAAAAACACAAACATACAGAGAAAGAAAGCAAGAGAGGCAGACACAGAGAAAGATAGATACTCACATCGATTGTGCCTTTCTTAGCAACGTTGGCCCAATCCTTAGCAGCCACACCAGTCTTCCAATCAAAATCAATGGTGATCGTAGACTGTGGCTTGTGATTTAGGGCCCAAAAGAAAGTCATGTAATCCCCAGCCTCAGCCGCTTGAAAAGAAAAACCCAAAAAAAATCTGGTGAGAAAAATTGAAAATAGGCCGTTTGGCAGGTGAGAAATGGAAGAAAGTGAAAATGAAAAGATACCCTGACGGTGATTTTGTGAGTTTTGGGGAAGGGATGGGGATCGTTGGGGTTGACTATGGTGTACTTGGCAACAGACATGGAATTGGTCTTGATGTCTTCGGCTATGCACTTGCTGTGACCCGATTGGAGATCGAATCGGAGTGATTGGGCGGTGTTGGATATAAACCCTAAGAGGATCAGAAGAAGAAGAGAGATGACTGTGAATCCGTGAAGAACAGAGAGGGAGAGAGATGTATCTGTGAAAGAGAGATGAGAGAGAGATAGAGAGGGAAGGTGGGTAGGTGGGAAAAAGACAACGATGCTTTAGGGAGAGAAGTCTTTGGGCGGTAGATCTATTGATCTCAACCATTGATATAAATTTGGGATTAATCTCAGCCATTGGATTAAAATGTACCTCACATACATTTTATACATTTTCAAAAATCTTCTTCCCTTATTATATAGATATATGGTTGCAATTTCCCTATATGCTAAATGATCTTCATTGTGCAAACATGGCCCTGTGGATGTCACTGGAAGTATTATTATCTTTGTCATTGTACTTATTTTTTTCTTAATAGATGACAATCATAAAATGAACCATAAGGCAAATGGCAAAAACATATAAATGTGGTTTAAATGTGAAATGTCACTATGTTAGATTATCTTCAATAATATTAGGTATTTTACCTATCTATAAGTTATTATAATGTATATACTTTATTTTACCTATCTACCTTTTTTATGTTTGCACTCTAATTGTGTTTTTTATTTTAATTATTCATCCAAATATTACTCACTTTAAGAAATGCCACATCAGTAATGAAGATGGAGGGAAAAAATCATAAAGGTCAAAAATATTTTGCTTAGCCTTTGAAAGTTAGTTTCATTTAGCTAGTGAATGTGAGCTGAGGTAAAATGTCGAATTATAGACTTAGTGCATTCAATTTTAAACAAATGAATTATACTATGCATTTTAACTAACATATATTATGTGGCTAGTGAGTTGGAGAGGCTCTTAACTCCAAGATTGTTAGACAAAATGCCTTGTAAAATACCCAAAAAAAGTACTCCTTCTATTTTGCCTAACTAACTTGGCTAGTATGTGCTCTAACTATACTCTTTATTTTAGCTAACCAATCAAACTAACTTAACTAATTTTTAAAAGAAAAAGGCTATAAACATAAACAAAAAATGCAATATCTTGTCATGACATGTTGCATATGCACCTAGTGTTGACGTGGTCATTGATGTAGTATTTAAACTATCTTGGGCTATCCCACTGTTTGATCCTTCTACCCACTTATGTGTTGGTGTACTTGAGATAGTTTCAACAGGGTCCTCAAATGAATTTCTATTGGACGATAACTATAATTGGGGGGTTTTGCTTAATTGTCCTGAGGTTAGTCCCCCAACTCACAAATTGGCATTTTTTTTTATGTCTTTCTAATCTTGATTGATTAACTCATCTCTCTCCTTTCTTACATGTATGTAGAATTGTGCTCCTTTGATAATTTAAATTTAAAAGAAAAAAAAATTATCAAAACAATTAGAAAATAGATGAGAAGTGTGTTTTTAATAGGGTAAATTACAAAAATATAATTTGTTTAAAAAACGTATTGTCCATTGTGATTCTGGAAAGTACGTCACGCCTCTTCAAGTTTCTAATTATACAACAAATGACTCATTTTATTAATAAATTATCAACTACTGTGTGGTATCTGGCCCATTGGACCGAATAATCCATTAGACCAACATTTTTTTCCTTTAATCTTTTAGTTTGTGCATATTTGATCCTATTATAATGGAACATGGTTACGTGCTCCTCATGTGTCTATTCTGCATAAAATTCATAGCTTTTTTGACCAATTAAACACAAATTACAAAAATTAAAACGCTAATCTTTTGAAATTGAAATTAATCGGACTAAAAAAATTAAGTGTAAACTACCATTAGGTCCTAATAATTGGACTTAATTCCCATCAACTCCTATTGAAAATAAGTCTTGGTAAAATCGTCGTTAATAATTTTTTTGTGACAATTTTTTGCATGTCGCTAAAAATTAATAATTAGTGACTTTTTTTTGTCATGATTTTTATAAATTGTCGCTAAAACTTACAATTAGTGATGTTTTTCTATGACGAATTTTTAAATTGTCACTAAAAGTTGTGAATTAGTGACTTTTTTGTGACAATTTTTTTAAATTGTCATTAAAACTTATAATTAGTTATATTTTTCGTGACAATTTTCAGATTGTCGCTGAAAATTAATAATTAGTGACGTTTTTTAATAGTGTTGAATGAAAAATGTTATTAATTATCATAGGACCTATTGGACAATAAGTCCACTTATTAGAACCTACACGTAAGTTTCCCAAAAATTAATACAAGATGAAGCTACAACTATTATTTGTTTATTTTTTTCATCTTGTCAGTGCCGAATGGCATGTGAGGAGTATGTAGTTGCATTATTTCCTCACGGTTGTTATCAATATCAATGTGACACAAAATGTAAAATTAAAAGGTAAATTGTTATAATTAAAATTATAAGATCCAAAAAGATACAATGAATAAACTATTGAATTGAGGATAAAATAGTGTGTTGTTTATCTTCTTAACATGAGCTTCTATGGTACAAAGAAAGAAAGCAAAGCAAAACGTCAAGTTGTGTTTTTTTTATTGCATTCCGTGCTCATTTAGCTAACTGAATTGTTTTTAGAGTCTCTTAAATGCTTCCTTTTCTTTGCAAACAAATATTCTACATTTCAAAGTGTACAAGATTCCTTAGTCGCATCTTTCCATTCCTCGGCAGGAGGTAGGTCTGGAATCTTCAATTTCACATGCAGACCATTGGATGGATTTTGTAAGTGGTACACTGTAATGTAATGTCAAATTTGGTAATTTATTTTATTTTTTAAATTAATATGATGAGGAATATCTTCTGACAATACTTGGATGTGACAAAGCTTTTCAACTAGAATGTGAGACAAAGAAAAGCCTTAAATGAAATCAACCAGGTGTTGGAAGTTGTGCGTGAAGTTCATGGTTTACATTTGCTCAAGTATGGGCCCCGTCCAGGGTAGACTGGACATGCAGGGCTCTGGTTAAGGGTGACATCTTCCATGCGATACTCAAATTCGATGAAGTTAACTGCTACGAACTATTCAATATGGCCAATGTTGAACATCACTTAAGAAAAGGGCATGGAGTTGTTGGGAGAGCATTTTGCTCCCCTAATGTATTATTGTGCAATGATGTAACCCAATTTAGCATAATTGACTACCCATTGGCACACTCTGCACAAGCTGATGAATTACGTGGTTGTTTTGCAATATGCTTGCAAAGTAGTTGCACCGGAAAGGACATTTACGTGTTAGAGCGCTTTATGCCGCCAAGCAACAAAGACTACAGTAATCAACAGACTGCATTGAGGAAAATATTGGAAACGATGAAGAAAAATTTCAAAACTTTTAAGCTTGCTTCCGGAGAAGAACTTGGGGAACATTTATGTATTGAAGAAATTTCTTTTCAGAATGGTGAGAAACTTGATTTTGTTCAAATGTCCCAAACTACAAAATCATTGCCTAGGCTGGAGCCCTTACAAAGTGGAGGGGAGATGACACAACTGGATTCATCAAATCAACAATCAATGGATGCATTAAACAATGGAAGCAATTCATAGAAAAAAGACAAAACAAAGAGGCCAAAAAGAGTTAAAATTGAAATTCCTTTAGATGATATCTTACAAAATTCAAGAAAGAGCATCTAGGTTGCTGCAGATAGCCTCCGAGGTATCTGCACTCTTAACAAATTAAAATAGAATATTGCTTGCGATTTTACTTATTATTTTCAACTCGACATTCTTCTCGTAAAGAAATATTTGACATTTTGCACTAACAAACATAAAGTTGTGTCTCTTAGCTAGATTCTTCCTTTTGCAGTTAGCCAATCTACATTAAAACGTGTTTGTAGGGTTTATGGTTTCCCGAGGTGGCCACCACGCAAGAAGAATATGGTTGGTTCCTCTCAACCTAGTGAATCTTTCCCGGGTGTTAATCATCAACAAATACCACAATTAAGTTCTGATCAGCCTTTTAGTCAAGCCTCTGCTGTTGTTTTTCACGCAAACCCACGTAATACAGTGATCCGAGATGCAAATGTTGTGACCGTGAAGGCAAATTATATCAATGATATTATAATAAAGTTTCCGCTGTCTTTGACATCGGGACTAGTTGAGTTACAACAGCAAATCGCCAAGAGACTGCACTTAGAGAATGGAACTTATTATGTCAAGTATACAGATGAAGTGGACGATTTAATTGTAATAGCTTGCGATCAGGACTTTCAAGATTATATAAGCAATTCTACATCGTCGGGCAGCACTATTCATTGTTCCAAAGTAGTCAATTATCAGTGATCAACTTGAATCATGTACGGGAAAGAAATAAACTTTCTCGTATAATCCTGTTGATCAAGATTGC